GAAGTATCGTTGTCTCCTTAAACGTTGAAGGAAAAAATGAGTGAAAGCAGGTGCATACAGCCACTGGAATCGAACTCTCCACACTTCTGGATGATATTAGTATCATTCGTCCTTTTTCTACCTGAACCATCGGTGTCATGCTTGCAGCAGGCTTGTAAAAGCATTGCCATTCTCTGGGTTGCCAGGTCCTTAACAGCAGACTAAGGAGTAACCATCCTCAGGCAGAACAATTCAAGGGCCAGGCCTGGGTCTGTGTGCAATTGTTAAATACGAATATTAAGAATGTAGGAAAAGTAAGAAGAATCATGTTGGGTCAGAGCAAGACTCGTCGAGTCGAGCAGTCCACTCACACAGTTGTCTGTGGAAACCTACAAGCAGGGCACAGGTGCAAAACCCCTCTTGCCCATGTTCCCCAAGAGCTGGGGTACGCAGGCACACTGCCTCTGATACTGGATGTAACATATCGTTCTCAGGACTAGTAGGCCCTGATAGCCTTCTCCTCCATGAACGTGCCCAACACCCTTTCAAAGCCATCCTAATTAGTGGCCATCACTATGTCTTGGAAGTGAATTCTGTAGTTAACGATGCACCGTGTGTACGTAGAAGTGTTTCCTTTTATCTGTCCTCAATCTCTCACCAATCAGCTTAATGGAATGACCTGAGTTCTGGAATTGGGACAGGGAGAAAAATGTCTCCTTATCACTTTCTTTGCACCTTGCCTAATTTTGTATATCTCTATTGTGTCTCAGTTTACTTGCCTTTATTCTAAGCTAAACAATTCCAGACAATGTAACCTTTCCTCATAAGCAGCTGCTCCAGGTCCTTGACTATTTTTATTGCTCTTTTCTGCCTTTTTTCCAGCTCTGAAATATCCTTTTAAGGTGTGGTGGCCGCAACTGGATACATTATTCTAAGGGTGATCACACCATGCATTTGTGTGTAGTTTATCTTCCATTCCATTCCTAATTATGCCTAATATAGAGTCTGACTTTTTCACAGCAACCACACAAGAGGTAGCTACTCAATACAGCTGTTCAAATTCCTAGCTCCTCCAGGACTTTTGCGGGAAAAGCTTGCCATCTGACTGCTAGCAAGCTATATATGGACCTGTTTCTAAATCTGGAGCAAGACTGTGGCTGGGATTGATTCTAAACTGACGAGTGCAGCATTCTTTCACATTCTCATCTGAAATGTCAGTTTCAGTATGATTTGGACAAGGCAGATATTTGCTGTGATGGGTTAGATAGGTCAAGTCCCTCACTTCTCGGATCTGGAGGATTGTAGCTGGTTAGTCACGTTAGCTGGTTACAAGAAACATAGAAATCCATGGCACTGTAAAGGCAGGTTTATTGTCATATCTGATGAAGCTGATTCTAGGCTACCAAGGTTTGTCCGTCCTCTGACTGGATGGCAGCTGGATGGGTTGCACCCCCCTTGAAGATACAGACTTGTAGCTTGGGGTGCTTCTTCATCCCTCTTTGCCACTTGAGGCTCAGATGGCTTCAGTGTCACAGCATATCTTCTACCAGCTTTGGCCCTATCTGGACAGGGATAGCCTAATTTCAGTAATCTACACTCTAAATTAGGTTAATGCAATGCACTTTGCATGGGGCTGTCCTTGAAGACCGTTCAGAAGCAGCAGCTTGTGCAAAATGCTGCAGCCAGATTAATAACTGGGACCCGAAGGTCCAAACATAAAACTCCAATTCATATTCCCAAGTGCCCAAACCCCTTTTTCCCACTGCATTTTTATAACTACACAAAATGTGTCCTACAGCACAGCAGAATAAACTCTGCATCGGCGAACTAGGAAGGCCCTTCCTGCTTGTACACATATGAGCTAGTTTGCACATTTCCTCTGGGCTCTCACTGTAATACCCAACAGTGGTGCAAAAACCAGCAGGTTTGGGAGGGGCTTTCACATCTGCCCCCATCATGTCCATTATAGCCACTCCAATGAGGCACAGTCACAGAAACATAAGGGGCCGTTTAGGCTGTTAGTCCAGCTCTGTCAAGGAATCCAGGTTAAAGCATCCCTGACAGATAGTTGTCTAGTCTCTGCTAGTGACAGAAAGCTCAGCACCTCTCTAGGCAGTTGGTTCCATTTTCCAACCACTTCAACCATTAGGGAGTTTTTCTTGATGGTAAACCAAGATCTGTCATCCTGCAACTTAAGGCCTTGATGATGATCACAGCCCTGTTCTCTCTGGCAACTCATTTAAGCACTTGAAAAGTGCTTTCAGGTTCCTTATTTTCATTGCCCCTTCTTAAGGCTAAGTTCCTTTAATCTTTCCTTGCAGGACTTATGAATTCTCTATACAAGCATTTATCATGCATTCATAATTCTCCACTCAAAGTAGCTTGCAGCTGCTTTACACAAGATAGGCATCCTTCAAAACTTCTCGCATGCTTTCCAAACATTTCTGCGGCTTTGTTTGTTTTAGAATGAATAAAGTAGGGTAGCACATTTCCAAAGAATAATAAAGTGGATGGACAGGCCATGGGCTTTTGCAATTCCTCTACATGTCAAAGATCCAATTAATCCCACAAAGAACATGGAAGCAGAAGCCATGTTTAAACTGGCAGGTTAACAGTTTCATGTAAAGAAGGCCATAATTTCTAGTTCCCTGAGCATCTTTGTTGCCCTTCTCTGAACTCATTTCAATTTATCTGAGCCCTTAAAGTGTGGTATCCAGAACAGGATGCAGTATATTCAAGGAAAGCTCTGATTGGAGCAAAGCAATCGGTTTGCACGATTTTGAAACTGTACTTCTACAGATGGAGACCATTGCCTGTCTGCTCTGGGTAAGAGGACCCCTGCCCCTTAAAGGTATTCCATCCAGCACTGTTTGGCAGCCTACTTCTTGTGGGGATATTGGGTGTACACTGCCCCATAATGATAGGCAAAACAGGAGTACCAGAAAACTTGCTAGAGGCTCCAGCAAAATGTTACCACCCCTCATCCCCAGCATCTTTTAGCTGCCTCACCACTGAAGAACCAGAAGCTACATCCCATTTGTGCTGCATTTGTCTTCCTTATTCATGTGGAGATTTTTACCCCACCCTTCTAATGCATATGCACTTAGTGCAGCTTGCAACGATTCAAAATCACCATGTGATGAAATATATTACGCATTAAAAGGCAACCCAAGCAGAGATACAGCCTTCAGAGTCTTTTACAAGGCACCTTTGGGATTGCTCAATCCGTTCATTTCCGGAGTAGAACTCTTTACATAAATCAATAAATATGGGCAAATGGGTCATGTGGCTGGTTTCATGTGCCATTTTGTTGATGCTATAGAGTGTTGTGAATGACACACGCTCAGTTCACATGGAGGCGAGCTGTGCAGATGCTGGTGCTGCTTCCCACATGACCAAAGACTGGGAAATTGAGCCATAACTCTCCACAAGATACACCACAACTATCCAGAGGAAGTGGGGCAAGGGCAGGGCTGGGCTGGGCTCAGAGATGCTGCTAGGTAAGCTCAGCCTTATGGGTATCCTCTTTAGATGGGCTTGTGCATCACAAGGCACCTTTGAGGTATTTTGGGTGAAGCACAGAACATCTTCCACACACACTGTGATTTTGTGCTTTGCAACAGCTGGCGCCTTGTATGTCAGAGAGTTTGCCAACCTCATAAAAAAAAAATGCTCTGAGCATGTGCAGTTTTGCATTTTAAGCTCATGTAAATCACAGTATCATTGAATTGGCTCCTACTACCCTGATGGTTTCTAGTGGTTTTTTGGGGTCCCATGGTGGTGGGGTGGTGAACTTTGGCAGCATGGTCCAGCTCTAGCTCCATCACTGGGGTGGAGAGGGGGCCCCACGCCATCTCTTTACTCAGGGATACTTTTGCCCTGTCCAGTCCAAGCATAAGTCTGCCTCACCACTGCAGCCATTAATTTATTAGGGGCTCCTGACTTCCAATGAGGCTCCCATAATCTTCCAAACTTGGAGGATGACAGACATCCAATGCAGGGTGGAAATGCCTTGGCAAACACACTCCGAAACACTTAGATAACCCATTTGGGTTAAGTGCTTTCCATTGGCTCAATGGAGGAGCCAGAAGCACCATCCGGATACACAGCTGGTGCGGAGAGAACTGGAGGGAGCTTGCTTCGCATTGGGAGTCCCAGCTCCGACCTCGAAGCCTTCTCCAAGGTCGGAGCTGGGACTATGAATTACCCTGGGGGGCATGCTGGGTGTTGTAAGACTTGTTCTGCCTAAACACGCACAAGATTGCTCAAAAAGCGTGCCAGAGAAGGGGGGGGGGTTGTTGCAAAGTGTTTGGAAGCCCGGCCTCTCCACGCAGCCACCTTGAGTGCCATGTTTGGCAGAAAGGTGGGTGCAAACAAAACAAATCAATCAGTCCCCAAAAGTGAGGGGTAGGGAGAGCACTCTGCGTTCCCTCAGAGACACGCTTTTAGAATTATTTCATTCATCGAAGGAAGAATCTCACAGTAAAAAGCAAAGCAAATTAGTGAAGAACCAGTCACGCTGTACTTTCCTTCCCCGAAAAAGGCGGAGTCTGGCACTTTGCGCTAATGCATCGCCTCCCAAAAGTTGCAGAAAACAAAGCTGGGATTGAGCTGGAGGCTTCGGCGCACTTCTCCGCCCTGAGGTTTCCTGCTCGCAGGCTACTGAAAGTCTCCCCTGTTCCTTGACACAAGACGCCTTTCAGCAGATCCGAAGCAAGGGCGAGGGTGCGGCTGGGTGGCCGCTTCCTTTCCTTCTCTCCTTCCCGGGACAGCAGGCGAGTCTGCTCCTGGGCGGTGCAAGGCAGGCTTTGCCAGCTGATGCGATCTCAACCGACAGGGGTCTGTCTTCGAGCGATCGAGCCGGTTCCACCCCCCGGCACCGGGAGGCCTCGCCCCTTCGGTGCGCTTTCTTTGGCCAAACGCCGCTCGCTGCATAAAACTGGGGAGTTCGCCTGGGCGCACGTTCCACTTTGGAGCTGCGCTTGGAAGAGGAGAGGAAGGCGCCGCCTAGGCAGCTCGCGTGCCTTTAACTTCGCCCAACTCGGGGAAACACTTGGCCGTCTTGAGCATCTCGGCCAGCAGCAGCAGCCGAAGCGATGGCCCCGCCGGAACTGTACCACAAGGAGTTTGCCGACGCAGGTCGCAAGGCTGGGCTGCAGATCTGGAGGATCGAGCAGCTGGACCTGGTGCCGGTGCCCCAACCTTTGCACGGCAACTTCTACGTGGGCGACGCCTACCTGGTGCTGCACACCTTCAAGAGGAGCAGCGCCACCTTCTACAACCTCCATTACTGGCTGGGTAGGTGTGTGTGTGGGAGCTGGGCGCCCCGGTGAGGCGAACGCACCTGTGGGACGCCAGCGTGGTGCCCTCCAGAGGCACAGGACTGCCGCTCCTAGCATCCTTATCTCTGAGTTGGGCTTGGTGTTTCAGAGTACAGCGGGGAAGAACCCAGCTTGCTGCCTACGCCAGCCTCCTGCACTGGGCGTTCCGGGGATGAGTTGGATGCAGTTCTCATAATCCACAGTGAGCATGACCATGCCAGCGAGGAATGATGGGAATTTGAGCTTAAAACAACCCGAAGGCACTAGGTTGGGATAAGAGGTTGTCTCCGACTTGGTGTCCCATCAGTACAATGCCTGGCAGATAATAATAGGCTGGCAATCCTGTGCTCACTTACCTTAAGGTAAATCCCCTTGCACTCACTCTGGCAGCCCCCAGATATGTTGGACTGCAAGTCCCAACATTCTGGGTGGGGATGCTGGGAGTTTAGTCCAACACATCAGCTTGGGGCCTGTGAGTTTGTTGGTGTTGCTTGGAGAGGCTAAGAAGTGATTTCTGGAAATCAGCATGATTACAGCTTGCTTGCTTCTGATATTATTCACAGAAAAACACAGAAACAGAGCGAGTCATAAGGTGTCTCCTGGGCCATCTAGTCTGACCCCCGGCTCCAGTCAGCCCCACTCATGACATGCCTACCATGTGCATGACCAGCCTATCCTTATCCTTAAACACTCTCACCGATAGGGCTTGAACCACTAATGGGGCTTCAATATTCTCTGTGCCCAGCAATTAGTTTTAGTTGAGCTTGGTTCACATTTTAGTTGACATGAGGTTAGTAAAGCAGACCTCACAGAAGGGATCAGAAGAGTGTGTTATAAGAGGAAGAGTTCTGGGCAATGGCGGCAGAGACGTCTCGGATGAGCTGAGATGACCAGCTGATCCAATGAGCCAGTTCATAAAGTCATTCTACTTCCTTTTTTCTGGGAGTACTCAGGTTCACAAATGTGCTGCTTTACATTTAGAGCTGGCTGTCAAAATTTTGGGGCCGTATTAGCCAATCAATGTAATTGGGCCCCAGTTGGTGTTGGCCTCTTTAGTCTGTGAGGGACCACAAAGTGCCTTTGTAGTTTCTGGGAGTTCTGCAGTACTCCTCTGCTTCAGGGCATGCCTTGGGTTTAAAGATACAGCTGGGAGAATGCATATATATGTCTGCATTCAGCTTGGCAACAGATTGCAGGGTTGGTCTCCCATGGGAGTTACAAATGAGAGTGCATCTGTTCTTGTAAATAGAAATGGTCTCACTTGGAGGTACTACCCACAGATTCTTGTGCCACCATACAGTTTAAATTAGCTTTCCCTGCCCTGGGGCCCATCATGCTTATCATCCGCCATGCTGACTGGGACGGATGGGAGCAGTAGGCCAATACATCCAGATAGTCCCATGTTGGGAGAGGCTGGTCTAGATCATAGGCTTGCTGCAAGGCTTCACTGTCACCAACAGAGTGCTATTTCAACTCACATGAAGCTGGATCTAGTCACAAGTAATAACATAATCATCCCCCCCACCCCCTTGCAGTTAAATCTGCTAATTTATAGGCAAGAGGTTCCAGGAGGGTCGAGACAGATTAGTCTCTTACAGTACGGGCATAAAAGATTCCTGTGTCACAATAAATCATCTACTCTTCAAGGTAACACACAATTCTGTTGTGTTCGGTGTAACTTTTGCATTCAGCTTTCCCTTTCTGTCCTTGCAGGCAGGGCTGGCATCAGCTGTAGGCATTGTGAGCTAGTTGCCAAGGCTCAGAGACTCCACGGTCAGCCCCACGAGGCTCCTGCCCCTGCTTCCCTCTCTTGGCCATCACTGTGTGCCCTGCTTGCTTTGACAGAACCTGCAACCAGGGTCCTGAGTGAGCATTTCAGGGTAACAGTCTTGCTGTGCACAGTTGTACAGAGGGGGTCCAGAGGAACAGGGCAAGTGAGTGGGTGGAAGGCCAGGAGTGCCAATTTTAGGCTTTGGAAGGCCCTTAAGCAAGCGTTTCCCCTGAAGCTGGAGTTGGTACTGCTTGCAGGTAATTGTAATCTTAGCTTTTCTGGCAAACCTATTTGCATTTGCCCCCTTCCCTCATTTTGGCCATGGCCTGCATTTAAAGAAAGATACCATAGAATAATCAAAAACAGTTTTGAGCACACAGAGAGTGCACTGTTAAATAAATGCAACCTATCCTCATATACTTGGAATTAAGGATGGTGAATTCTTTCTAAACAGAAAGGTGGTTTCTTTCTAAACAGATGGTGGTTTTCCTATACAAGCCTGTTTTCATCTCTCTCTCATTACAATTTTATCTGCTTCCTCTAAGAGGTTCAGGCATACACGGCAACCTTATAAGGTAGGTGAGGCTGAGAGAGTAACACTCACAAGCTACAGTTAGCTTTGTGGCTGAGCAGGTTTGGATCTTGGCTGTCTCTGCTCGTACTCTGGAACCCAACCACTACCTCATACGGACTTTTATTAAAATAAACCATGTCCCCACATCCTCTGATGATGTCCATCCCCCCCTCACAAGTTTACAGCTTATGAGTACAGCAGGATAATTGGCTTTCAGCTCAGGCATGAGGATCCTCCCAAATCAATTGGCAACACTTTTGGTTGGTTGTTGGGTGTGGGGGGATTTTTTTTGGCAGCAAACAGCATGCGCTTTATCTCACCTGTGCCCTCTATCTGGAGTTACTCCAGGCAAGTGCTTATTCTTAATGATTTCCAGATTTAAAATTGATAGGAGATATTCATGGCAGTGCATCTGGGTAACTCCAGTCACGCTTGGCAAAAAACAAAAACAAAAAAAATTATTGCCTGAGGGTAGCAGAATAAAACTGGTTTTTCTCTTTCTCCCTTTAGATCAGCTCATTTCACAGGAGTTTCAGTGCCAGCTGTATGCACACAAAGTTATGTGCACTGGAACATTAGTAACCTCTTATTTAAACAGAAAGCATTGAGTCATCAGTGTTTTTATGATTTTTGCCACACTGGAGCTGTGTTGTATTAGGTGGCTCCTACGATCTATGGAAGAGGAACATAAACAGAATGCTCAGAGCTGTGTAAGTCTTTTCAAATTAATTGCATGCACCTCTGCAAGCATGAGGGACAGGAAACGTATCTAGCTGAAGAACTGCCTCAGCTGTTTTCCATTTCCAGCTGTGGATGGACAGAGTTCTTTGACAATGAATTGCATTTCTGTATTTTTGGCCCTTGTTTCACCAGATAGAGCTTCTCTGCAACAGCCAAAGCACGGCATCAGCATTACGAGTAATTACTTTGGTAACATGTTGGGGGAAATTATAAGTAGGACTTAATTAAAGATGATATTGGAAGTCTGCATTGCCATTGCATCTTTTTGAACTGCAGGCAGAGCATCTGAGGATACTTTGCAGAATTATGCTCCCAAATCTAATTCAATCATGTGAGAATGAAGGCATCAAGAATGCTCTGATACTCAGTTCAGTAGTAAACTAGACCCAAACTAGCAAAATTCAGCTGAATTTGAATATATCTTTGAAGAGCAAATGTAGAGGGATTAGAATTAGCTGATCACCTTTGTAGGGACAGTCAGACATAAAGTTCTCCAGATGAAACATATTTTGAAATTTCCCGAAGTTTTATTGAGGGTCCTGATGACATCATCTTCCACTCATAATTCACTTGTAAGAATGAATTTTTGCACAACTTCTTACTCCAGAAAATCTGTTAAGGAAAACAAGCCAGAGGAAATCCCTGCACAATGACTTCAGACTGGTGGTGCAAAGAGCCCTCCATCTCAAAGATTCCGCAGTGTCAAGCCCTAATTTCTGATTCTGGTTTGAAAGACACATGCAAACCATAGTTTGTTCACTTGAACAAAGTGTCGCACTGCTGTTTCCCTTGAACCAGGATAAGAGATGGGGAACCATCCCATGCAAGGGAAGAGAACATGTGTAAGACCAAAGTACCACTGATTACTCATTTGCATAATGCTGAACCATCACTTGGTATGATATCTGAGCCACACAATAAACTCAGTTCAGACATTACTACAAATGATGGTTTGCATGAACAATAGTTGAGAAACCAAATGTTAAATTCTTATCTCCAAATGAACAAAAGGCAGACCGTGGTTTAGAGTTGCTTGTTTCTGTCCATCAAGCCCTTTTCCTTATAATTTCACTTGTGTCCTCCTCATGGCTATGGGGGCTGACTGGTCTCTTCACCCTCTGTTATCTTTACTGTATCACAACAACAGCTTCACAAGAAACCAATTGTAATCTACTTCAGTGGTGAAGAACAGGTTGGTGTCCTGTTTGCCTGTTCTTTTTTCTGACCGTGAACCATTTATTTGGCTGTTCCTAATTGTGGTGTTTTAGTATGGTGGGTAGCACAGATACTCCTAAAGAACATAGACCATGACTAAATCTCACCATTGATTTCTGAGCACATCCTCAGTGTGAGATCTGAATAACCTCAAACTGGGGTCAGCAATGGAGGCCACTCGGACCAATCCAGGCTCTCAAGAGATTTTGTTAGGCTCCAGATATTGCAATGTAGAGATGAACATTGTGTAGATTGTGGTATATACTGTATACTAAATAAATTCTTACCAGGTGACTCTTGCCAACAACTACTCATATCCATCTCAGATCTCTGCCTTGAGAAAAACCGATGCTAGTTTTCCAACGGTGACATTTGTGAGTGATGTCACAGAAGCATAGAGTTGGAGGGGGCCTTATGGACTTTCCAGTCCAACAACATGCTTTATGCATCAAATCCCGATCTAGAGTGTTCCTAACTTTCCATATTCTCTTCTGAAGACTTACAGCAAAGGAGAGTGTTCCCCCACATCCCATATAATGGGTTCCAAAATGTTCTTCTTTCAAGAAATTTCTCCTAAAGTTTAACTGAGATTCACTCTCCTAAAGCATAGGTTTAATTATGACTTCAGAGGCTACAGAGAACAAGCTTTTGCTATCTTCTGTGGGACATGGCCCTTCAGCTGTTTGAAGAATGTGTCCATTATGTTTTTGTAGAATCTCTCATGCTTCTTTGCCAGATGTGAACTCCAGAGGTCCTTAAGGAAGAAGCAGTGACATTGAAACTGCTGTAATTGTGTAGTATGTGCCTTTCAATTGCCGTTTTCCCCCGTTCTACAATATCGCTCTTTTAAATGGGTTATTTCTGTCATACTTTAGGAAAAGAATGTACTCAGGATGAAAGCACTGCAGCAGCGATCTTTACCGTTCAGATGGATGATTATCTTGGAGGAAAACCTGTGCAGCACCGAGAACTCCAAGGATATGAATCTACACAATTTGTTGGGTACTTCAAAGATGGCATTAAATATAAGGTATAAAATAGGTTATGATTCCACAAGAATTGGTAATACAACATAGAAAAAAGGTGTCCCAAGAATGGAATAACACAAAAGCAGGTGTTGAAGTGTGTTTTCCCCTTGTGAAGTTGGCTTTTCTGTTTACATAACAGATACACATACCACTGTACCCCTTCAGTTCAGTGGGAAAGTTTGAACAATCGTATCTCAGCTTAATAAAACGGGATACAAAGATTTTCTTTTTTCATCTGTAGATGCATTCTGTTCTCTCTTGCCTTTTATGAGATGACAAAGCAACCAGGAAGTGTTCATTTAGCTATTTTGTCTGAACTGGGAAACAGGGATTAGCAACTTTAGAAAAAGCCAGGATATTGAGCCAGCTTTAAACTAACGTTTAATATTTTGACTTGTTCTGAAGCTGCTAATTTTCATTTTCTAAGTCTGATGAAATGAGAACCTATGGTTACTGGAGTACTTCCTAGTTTGTGTGGATTGGGGCTGTAGTTCGGTGGCATTTCCAAGGTCCTGGGTTTGATCCCCAGCATCTTGCGTAAGGGCAGGAAAATCTGCCTGAAGCTCTGAAGGGCTGCTGCCAGTCATTGTTGATAAAATGGGGCTAGATGGACCAATGGCCTACCTTTTCTAAGGCCCTCTATTTTGCTTATATGAAGGAAGTAGAGAAAGGGTGGCAGGCATTGCTGAAAGACTTCATCGTATATCTCAGCTTCTGTTTGCCTGAAGGTAGACAGTAATGCTGTTGCAACACTTCTGGTTCTCAGCTGATTAGGGCCATATGTGGGGCTGCTTGTTCTTCATAATATTCTGGCCCTGCGGCTATATTTGCAACAGCTTTCTGGTGTTGCCCCTTATGCAAAATTGCTGTGGAAATTAGAGTTGAGGGGGAAGGTTTGTGACTAGCTCCATCCAGTCAGCACTATCCACACCTGGCTGCTTTTGCCAGCTTTCTCTAGTGGCAGAGGGATTCAATGCAGTGAGAGTGTTGCCCAGCCAGGTTCAGTGCCCTGTGCATATTATGTGGGGCATTGCCCTAAGTCTTTTCTAGAAGATCATGCCCCGATGGTACATAACATCCAGCCTTCTCCAACCATGGACCCTCCTGATGTGTTGGACTACCTCTTCCAGCATTCCTGAAGGTTGGCAATGCTATCTGAGCCTGTTAATAAGTAAAGTCCAAAATGTATGGAGGACACCAGGTTGAGAAGCCTGAATTACACCTACTTTGGATATAGCCCACTGAGAACATAAGTAGTGCTAATGAATAGAAATGATGCAAACAGCTTGTGTTGCATGTGAAGCAACAACAGAAATCCTCAGTCACTGTCACTATAATATGTATTTCATGACTTTACTTGTAGGCAAAGTCTGTTGGACCCCCAATTAAAATATCTTGGGGGTGGTGTAAAAAGAAGGACAAGTCCCTTTAGAGCAGGGGTAGGCAATGAGCGGCTCCTGAGATGTTTTGGCCCAGAGCTTCCATCAGCCCTAGCTAGCACAGCCAATGTGAGGGATGGTGGGAGTTGTAGGCCAAACTATCTGGAGAGCAGCCCACTCTGGCTCTAGAGGTCAGCTGGACTTAACTCTGCAAACCCGAGCCCTTTCCAGACATTACACTAGTTATGAGTACGGGAAGAACAGCGGTGTATCTACCCCACGCCAGAGTGAAAGGGATTTTACTTGAAGGTACTTTCCTTTGCTAAGTACCACTGGACTTGTGAAGGCACTGGTAGGCCAGTAGGAAAGGTTAATCATTCCTCCATACAAATCATTCCCAACTCTTGTCTAAAACTGGGAGGGAGCCTCTTTTGCATTCATCTTGCTTTGCACCCTACTTGACAAAGTCAGGACTATGCTGCTGCTGAAACAGTGACTGCATTCAGATTGTCATATCTTAGCCAAGATCTGCCCATATCTTTTCTGTGTGCATGCAGCCTCTTCCATCCTCCCTTTGGCATGAGCCATGATGAAACTGGGAAGCTGTTTCGGAGAGCATTTATCTTCTTTGGGTTTTGTGAAAGGTTCTTGTTTCTTCATGATCCTGTTTCTTTGGGAACATACTATTTGAATTTGCTATTAGAGGTAGTGACACCTGAGACAGATGTTGCCTTGAAGACATTGCCAATAGCTACATCTTTTTTTTTTCTTTTTAATACTGGGGTAAGTGCAGCAAACCTGGTCCAGATTGGTGTCCTATTTAAGTGGTGGTGTTAGAACTTTAAACTTTCTCCCTACTGTCACTTGATCTGGATTCAGGACAAGTGCTTCCATTTACTATTGCAAAATTTTCTTTAATAAATCACTATTTTATGATATAAATTGCATACATGAGGATCTGATCCAGATTAGGACTTTGCTTCCAGAAGGGATAAAATACTTGCTCCCTCCTCCCCCACTGGAGTCCCAATTCATTTCTACATTAATTCTAGAGTAAAAATGAAAAAAGTTCATAATTACTAGCAACATCTTTCAAGTACATAATCTTTGCTTTGGCTGCTTGTTGTTATAAGTAATGAAAAACCTTGATAACCTTACAAGGAGGAAAAACTACCTCACAAACCTATGCTGAGAATCTGAAGAATGAAAGCAGGCAAGTAACTCTAAACTACAGTTTGCCTGTTCCATGTCTCAAAGTTCAAACCATGGTGTGGATTCTCAACTCTGTGAGCCATGTGGGCTTTGACCCCTGAGTGGCTACTGTGCCCATAGCTGAGGTCTAGGTTGGATGAGGAAATGGACTAACCCTTGCCATTTTACTTCACTTAGGCAGGTGGTGTGGCCTCAGGCTTTAAGCATGTCATCACAAATGACCTAAATGCACGGAGACTTCTGCATGTCAAAGGTCGGAGAGTGGTTCGAGCCACAGAGGTTCCTCTTAGCTGGGACAACTTCAACAAAGGGGATTGCTTCATTGTAGATCTTGGAATGGTAAGTTGTCACAAAGCTGCATTTCTGGAACAAACAAAATATCTTACAAATTCCACAAAGTTATTCAGTCCACATGGTATATAGGATCTTCCAGATGTTATGGATCCTTCCCCCTGTAGCAGCCTCCTGAAAGCAGGTGCCTTCCATATGTGGTGAAGTACCAGTCCCATGGCTGGCTGGGAGGATGATGGGTGTTGCTATTATTGTATTTTTCCTTTCTATACTGCCTCATAGCTGAGACTCTCTGGGTGGTTTACAGCAATCCCTAAAAACAAAACAATGAAATGCAAGACAAATACCCTGAGATTAAAGCATTATTATTATTATTGTTATTATTATTGTTATTATTATTATTATTATTTAAAAAACAGCTAAGACATACTGTAAAAAATGATTCCATAGAAAGAAAAACAGAATCTGAGATGAGCAATCCCCTTGAACCCCTGGGTAACCAAGTAAATCTTTAAAAGCCTTGGCATAAAGGGCTGCCTTAACTCGGTGCTGAAAAGATGACAAGGCTGGTGCCAGGTGGGCCATGGTGGGGAAGCTGGGGAGCCACCACAGAGAAAGCCTTCCCCCTTGTCAAGCTCTGAGCCTCCCTCTGTGAAAGGGCTCAGAGGCTAAACATAGTGTCTGGGTAGATTACAGCTGGGAGAGGCACCTGAGCAGGTACTGTGGGTCCAAGCCATGTAAGGCATTACAGGTTAAAACCAGCACCTTGAACTGGGCCCAGAAGCATATAGGCAGCCAATGGAAGTAGGCTAGAATTGCTCCCATGTATTTAGACCTGTGGATCTCAGTTATTAATCTGCTTGCTACATTCTGCAGGAGATGTGCTACAGTCCAGTACCTCTCAATAGCACCAGACTGGAGTAGATTATTTGTGGTGCCGGAGTTAAAATATCATGTGCATTTAGCACTGGCCCTTCACTAGCAACTGCTTCTCTTCAAGCATATTTTTAGCAAATGATCTGAGTAGAAAGAGACCCACAGGAAATCCTTTTTGTTAAAACTGCCAAATCTAAAACGATTGCAACATCAACCGCTCAAAGAAACTGATATATCTAAAGCTGCTGCAAGGCTTTGCTGTGATGGGGGTGGCATAGAAATGTTTTAAATAAATAAATAAAGCAGAGAATGCTTTTATTTTGAGTGATTTCCAGTAAAAAGGCAGAAACAGCACCAGGACCCAAGAAGTGAAGCAAGAGAATTCTCACAAAATTAGAATCAGACTTGCTGTTTCCTGTACCCTTGCCTACTCCCACGGTGTGTGGTCAAGGGACAAACCCTTGATGAACACATCATGGCCCAGAGTAAGGATGTGGCATTCCTGATCAGCTGTTATCATGGAACTCAGATATGATGTAGTTTATCTGAGTGAAAGTGGTATTTTGTAAAAGGAACCAGACTGCTCAACCATGATGCTCCAACCACCAGCATGGAAAAAAGCAGCAGGGCATAACGATCCATCAGCAAACCATGTTACTTGTTTTTGTAGCCTGCCAGCAAACTGGATAATGCAGGGCTGAGTTCTCCTGCAGGAACAGAAGTATCAGGTGTCAAGAGCAAGGATGCGGGTGATAGAATTCTGACTGAGAGGATCGTAAGGAAAGGATATAAGTTGGGTGCAGGCATGTGTTAGCCCATAAAATAATTAATATCATGACAAGGGGAGCGTGGGTCTTCCTCACTGGCTCCATTGCCACTGTCACTTCCACATCAGACCCACCTCCCTTTCCACCATTAGGGGAGAAGGTCTGAAGAGGAAAGCCAGACACATGTGTATAGATTCCTTCTATCATTCCAGTACCAGGGGAAGCATCCCTACGTACACCAGTTTCTGGGACACGTGGTCAGGAGATGTTTGTGGATTCTGCATGACCAGGATGCTGGACTAGATGGGCTTTCCGAAGGGGTAGTCTTGCTCGTTGCATCACAGCCAAGTCATGTTCACTTCATCATGGTATAAGGGAGGGTCTTCTCTCCTGAGGTTCCCACCATGTGGAAAGATCTCATTGAGGGCTAGTTTCTGCTGCCAGCTGAAGACTGATTTATTTGCTCCAGTGTTTTCCTAACTGCTAGCATTGGCACCTCTATCTGATTAATTTAATGGACATTTTATTATATTATTTCTTTGCTGATGGGCTTGTTGCCTTTTGTTATGAGTTTGCTTAGTGAACAGCTTTGGGATTTTTTAAAATGAAAAGAGGAATAAAGCATTTGTGAAATAAAAAATACAATTTGGACAGCATTAAGGTGAGGGCTTCTTAACACATTGTTGCTTCCAGCTTGAAAGGTAATGTGTGGGAACATGGAAGGAATGAAAGCAAATATTTATGGGAATGGAAATTTGTATTTGGCAGCTTCTGATGCAACAATTGTGATCCGTTCATTTGTACTGCTGTTCATGCTCACAAGTATTTTTGATTAAAAATAAACTTTACTGGGGAGAAAAGCAATGTTTGGAGGGGCTTCATATCTGAAACAGATGAAATGGGGGCCATGAAACATGTGTAGCCTTCTAATCTCTTATATGGGAAGGTCAGCTTTCAAACAAGCAAGAATCTACTAGAGCAACCTTTCCTAGCTTGTCACCCTCCGGCCGTGTTGGACTGCAACTCCCATCAAGCCCAGCCATTAAAAAATCACCTATGTTGACTCGGAATGATGAGTTTTGTAGTCTAGCACATCTGGAGTATACCAGGTTGGGGAGGCTGTCCAGGACTGAGAAGGTAAGGTTGAAAAAAATGAGGACGCAAGCATAAAGCTAGTGGTGGGGTTAGAGCACAAGCAAAATGACAGGAGTTGCTGGTTCAGCTCTAGCTCAGCTAGGAATTCCCAGGATGGTTTTCAAAGGTGCCTTTCCGCTGCTTCTACCTTCCCTGCATATGGTCATTTCGTAGGGTGAGCTAGCAACACTTCCATAGGTTATTAGGGAATTAGAGTCGCATTTTCCAAGCAAGTTTACTGGAAGGGTCTGTGGAATTTATTTATCAGTTTGTTAGCTGACTTTAAGCACCAGCACCCCTGGTGGTGTGCAGTTAAAAGGAAGAGGAGGAGGAGGAGGAGGGTACCCTGACCATTGCAAGGAGAACACTGGCAGCAGTCTAGCAAGTATGCTAAACTGTAAAGCAGTTGTTAAAAAGAATGCATTTTAAAACATGTGAATTCCCTTCCTCACCCCACAGTTATAAAAATGCAGATAACCAATAATATTTTAAAACTGTTTCCCTTTCATCTCACATAGGTGACATCTGTTACAACATATTCATGCAGAAAAGCAAGTTGACTTTTTTAGAGCTGCTGTTTTAGTTATCAGCAGATTTAATTGATTGAAAATGAATCAGATTAATCAATTAAGATTTCCCGAATTGGATGGTAGCTGTACTTAAAGCCAGCAGGTGGAGAACACAGTTTTCTTTGCATAGATGTCCTATTCATAAAAAGTTGGCTATTAATTGACCTTTGACTTTCCCTTTTTTATTCCTAGAAACTTTTTATGGAAAAAATAGCTTTTGATTTGCTTTTCAGCAGGAAATTTTGCTGGGTTGAAGATAACATTTTCTATGTGCAGAGAGAACAATTTTCACAGGATATGAGGGCTAGTCAAAATGCCTGAAGAGTTCTTACCAGCTGTTTCAATACAGAACTGGTTTCGTTAAGATGTGCTTTAGGAGATAGCAAATGCATCATAGTTTAACCAGTTCTGGCACCAACTGATCCTGGGATTGTTTACCCATAACAATTATGTCTTCAACTTAGATCATGTCTAGAGATGTGGAAAAGGTTGACACATTTGCCTTTGTCTCTCAGAAATATTTGTAAGACATATTCCTTTGTAAGACATATTTCTAACAAAGGAAGAAACAATTTCTTCCTTTGTTAGAAATTGTTTTGGCTTGCTTGAGATTCTGGAAACTAGGACAGACTGTTTAGTGTTCCTAAATATTTATTATTTATACTTTGGTGAAAAACCTTAGATCTCTATAATTTTGGGGAAAAAATCAGAATGCTTTTGCGTATGATTGCTTCTTTTAAAGCAAAAACAGTGGATTAAAATTGTTTTGAAAGTCCTCTGTTCTCCTGCTCACTTCTTTTTATACAGTATAAAATCAATTTAATTTTTTTATTCTTACTTCCTTTCATTTGTGCCTCAAAACTCAACTTTCCCAGGAAGCCTTTGGTTTATACTCCCTCAAGCTTACTGTAACTGAGAAAAATGTTTGCAGTTGAAATTGTATCTTTTTCCTCTGCTTCCCCATGCCTCCATTTCCCCTCTTCCTTTGCTTTTTCCCTGTTTCTATGGTACACTGGGATAGGACTTGCCATATCTGTTCTTTGTAAAGCGCTATGAATATAGATGGTCTTGTGTAATAAATAAATAAAGCTGCCTTATTAGTTGCAATGCTTTTCAACTTTTTTCCATTGGCTAAGCTGAAGCAAACTTGGAGAACTGTCAAGGTGAAAATAAAATCTTTTCTTGAAAGAGGCAGTAACCCTGATCCAGTAATTTATGTGCTTGGGGCTGTGTGTTAATTCCAATAAAAGGAAATCCATGTGCCTGAAGAAAAGCACATGCATATTTGTTTTCTCTACTGAAGTGAATGGTGATACTTTAGAGCAAGGGCAGGCAACTTGCTGGCCTCCAGATGTTTGGCCTTCAACTTCCATCAACCCTAACAGTACAGTCAGTGGTGAGGGATAATGGAGACTGCAGGCCAAAACATCTGGAGGGCCAGAATTTTCCCACCCCTGTCTTTGAATTTTATGTGGGAACACACTGGAGTACAAGAACGTATGCACTGTGTGGCATACCTGCATGAGTTGGTGGGGCAATATTGCATAAATCAATGCATACAACCACTAATGCTGAACCTGAATAGCTTTTTTCCCGAGCGATGGAATTTTCAGATTGATTGCTTTCGAAAGTGATGTCTCTCTATCACTAGAGAAAGAAGGGAAACCTTGTTGCTTCTATTTTGTTAACCTCTGTTTCAGTGGCTAGACCAAAGGTCTTTTTGCATGCCATTCTGGGAATGGTTACCCGTTCATATGAGATTAGACTCTGGGATGCTGCATACTCTGCACAAAGCTGTTGCTCGTTAATGCTGTTCACTGGCGGCATCTCCCTTTTATTATAGGTGATATACCAGTGGTGCGGCTCTACGTGCAATAAATTCGAGCGCCTGAAAGCGACTCAGGTTGCTGTGGGCATTCGGGACAATGAACGGAATGGAAGAGCTCAGTTGATGGTCGTGGAGGAAGGGAGTGAGCCTCAAGAACTCCTACAGGTATGGAATATTCACTTGCTTGTGAAACAGCTGAGAGCTGCACAGATTATCTGGCCATCCCAAACGCCATCCCGCCTCAGGTTAAAGCTGCAGATCTCATGACATGGACAGAATGGGGCCTGCCTGTGTTATAATGTGAGGTCAGAGTTCGGTGGTAGTGTGCTTGGTCTTTCACTCAGCAGGTCCCAAGTTCAGTAGCTGGTATTTCAAGGTAGGGCTGGGAAAGATATCTGGAAGAACTACTGCAGGCAGTACTGAGCTAGATAGATTAATGATCTGGCTCAGATGTTCCTGTGTCCTGGATAAACCAGTACCATTTGGCAAGAGCCATGGCTCACTGGTAGAACACCTGTATTGCATGGAAGAGTCCCCAGTTCAGTGCTTGGCATCTCCAGGAGTACATGTGGGAAAGCTTCTGTCTGAGACCTTGGAGCCTCAACTGGTCTCTGCAGACAGCAGTGAATGAGATGGGCCTTTGTCTGATGCACTGTAAGGGAGTTTCATATCCTGGGACAGGAAATGCTTTTGGTATGAGCAGTGTCTATCCTCTTGGAGGATATCTGCACTACAGACATATTTGGCCTCAGTTTTCTTTTCCCAAGGCGAAGTAGGAATGTAAGTGGGGCTAAGGGATTCTAATAGATCATTTTGGCACCCTTGCCAGATTTTCTGTTTTTCTGTTCAGTGTCAAAGTTGTGTCTGAGCCATCACAACCCCATGGACAACATTCCTTGAGACTCTCCTGTCCTCCAGCATCCCATGGAGGCCACCTAAGCCCATACCCACTGCCCCAGTGACCCCATCTAGCCACCTCAACCTCTGCTGTCCCCTTCTCCTTTTGCCATCAATTGTTCCCAGCATCAGGGTCTTCTCCAGGGAGTCCTTCCTTCTCATTAGGTGGCCAAAGTATTTGAGATTCATCTTCAGTATCTGACCTTCTAAAGAGTCAGGGTTGATCTCTAAGACTGTCTAGTTTGATCTCCTTGCAGTCCAAGGGACTCCCAGGAGTCTCCTCCAGCACCACAATTCAAAGGCCTCAATTCTTCAGCACTCAGTTTCCCTTATGGTCCAACTTTCACCGCCATATATTATAACTGGGAAAACCATAGCTTGGACTATGTGAACTTTTCTTGCCAGATTACAATCCACAAAATTCTTTTGAGGGAAACTTTGACAGTTTAAGTGGTATTGATGATGTGAGCCGCCCCAAAGCTTCGGCGAATGGGGCGGCATAAAAATGTTTTAATAAATAAATTAATAAAATGAAATGTTGCAAATACATCTATGGGGCGGACTGAATCTTTGGGACAGCCAACATGTTACCATAGATTATGAGGCCAGTTTCAAGGTGTCAGAAGAGGCTCCCCACTCTGATGAACCTTAGTGGGAAGGTATAACTCTTTCTTTAGCCAAAATAGTCCATGGGAGCAATGTCCTGGCTCAGTGCTCCGAGGGTCCTGAGAGGGGATGAGTGGCTCTCACAGGTAGAGCCTCTTGGACTGTGTTCCAGCATCAAAGGAGTTCTGGGAAGAGGGAAGGGCAGACCAGTCTGTGTAAGATGACCTTCTCCACCCTGGCACTTCCAGATGAGTTTGGATCCAACTTCCGTGATCCCCAGGCATGGGCCCTGCTGGCCCAGTTTAGCTTGGCTTACAGAATAGGAAGGGTGGCAGAGGGAAGGAACTAAAGTTAAGGCTAGCCAACCAGAGCCTTGTGAACACCGGGTACATGGTAAATAGCCAAGGAGGAGGGAAACGAGGGCAGCATAAGTACCTTTGTTACACCTCCTGTATCTGTCCTTAAACAAAACTTTTTGGACTCTTTTATTAATTTAATTTTAAAAAAAGATTGTGAGTTTTCCAACCAACTCTGTCATTAGAAATGGATTTGAGAAGCGTGTGTTGCACTTTAAAGAACAGTGTACTTCTGACAGTTGAGAAAGAAAAGAGTAGATTGTGGACTATGCATCATATTAAGAATGACTGGCCTATGTTATAGGAAGTTGCCAGCTAATTACATTTTAATAGAATTCTACTTTGACCTGTAATAGAAAAATCAGTAAATAATTCTATATGCATAGTAGGACTCTTTGAATAAACCTGTGGAGTACGTTTCCTTTACAACTATTTGGAATATTAATCTTGGCCTAGGTAGAGCGTCCTGCACATTATCTGCTTGATAGAATGCACTTTACTGTTGATATTTTCACCTTTGGTGTGTCATGCCAATTGCAGCTAATAATTGCTGAAGCAACAAAATACGGCAGATGTTATGCCTTCGGGCATGTTAGTCACACATGATTTTTTAATGCCTGAGCTGTGGAGGAGGGGGAGAGTGCCACAGTTGAACCTGTTCGGTAGCTTAAACTGAACAAAGAATTTTAGAAGGCACCTTCTCTTAGCTCAGGATTATACTCTTCAACTGGGAATGGAACAGCTAAAGGATTGTGGTGAAAGTAGAGCAGTGCACATCCCTTCCAGGGTGTCTCCAGCACAACTGGATGATCATTCATGTGGAAACCTCTGTTCATACCAGAAACCACTTGTGTTGTGACAGGGAGGGGTTGGCTCTGTTTCCCCACCATGCTGTGTCCAGCTTTCTTCTTGGCTGGATCGAAGGTCGAGAGCTTTGATGCTGTAATTAAGGATGGCATGTCTTTCCAAGACAAGCATACATTTGAGTTGCCTGAGCTTTCACTGAATTGTGAGGGCCAGGTAGATAGAGCCTACCTGAATATTTTGCTGTCCCCAAAGACCTTTTTAATCTTTTATAAATTGCTTAAAAAGAGAACTTTGCTATTTGATGGACTGTGCTTTAATGGTGATGTTTTCACCTCTAGTTCGGGGCCAAGGATGATTTGCAGCTTTGGAACCCTTTGACAGCTCTCCTTTTGATAGCTGTCAAAGGGTTCCAATGGAGGAGTCAAGTGGGCACTGCACAGCGTGGGTAACTGATGGAGTTGGCTAAGAACCCCCTTCCCTTTCACAGCACCTACCCCAGGCCATTGATCCCTGCAAACAGCACCACTCCAGAATTTCAGATTTATGCAAATCCAACAGAAAATTAAAAATATAAAACTCAGTGCAGATATTTGTATACATTACAGAAGGCAAACATTTTTTTAAAGGATGGACAATCATGGGCAGTCCCTCAAAGATACCACTGGGACACCTTAGAAGGACTGCTTGCAGCTGCCAAAACTGGGATTATGCTAAGTGGCTCGAGTAATCTCTGAAAAAAAGGAAAAGTTGGCTCACAGTTGTGGCAGGGGAAGAAGGGTTTAAATTCAGTGCCCCTGTGGCATCACCTGGGATGCCTGCAAAAGGGGTGAGGAGGGGGAGGCGGAGGACCCGTTACCAATGATGTGCCTGATGGTCTGTCAGGATAGGGGGGTTGTGAGTCACACTGCTGCACAGTGTGGCTTACGTCAGCAACCCAGCGCATTGTTATCTTTCCTCATAGGAAAAGCTTTGTACAAGCTGAAATTGGCAGAACTCCATCCAGGTTAGCACACTGCAATTAACAGCTGCAAAAGTCCTTGAATGTGATGCAGCGTTGGTACTTCAAATCCTTGTCAAAGAGACAGAAGCTCCAAAAAGATGGGTACAATAAAAACATATGATATTAGCTCCACCCAGCAATTCAGTACAGGATTAATCTGCACTGAGTAGTCATGTATTAAGAACATGGGGCATTTGGCTCTCTTTATAGTCTTTGGAAACAGATCCTTATCTGCTAAACAAAGAATTCTAGGTTGGTATTGGTGTTTGCCCATCCTGGCATCATTTTAAAATTAGAGGAAACTTTCTTATAGGCTTTATGTAGAGGTAAAGGTCGAACAGACTCTTCCTTTCTTATTTGCAGATAAGGCAACAAACCATCCAAGCAGATTGGCCTGGACTTTAAAAAGCACATGTCAAGAACAAATGTAATTTTTAGAAATGAACAGTGTGTGTAAGAGATAATGCTTTAGTTGTAAGCCATACCACATGTTATGCTAATTACATATTATGACACTGAGGCCTGTCTTACTTTTTTCTGTTTTGTAAACATTTGTGGCTCTGATTAGGATCAGTGCCATAGCAATCTGGGAGGGCAGGCCCTTATTCCTGCCCCAATTCCCTCTGCAGTGCTGGAGCTGGGGTTAAAAAAGGAAAGAAAAGATCTCCACTAAAGTCAGTTGAGGCTTTTTCTCTCTTCTCCCCAATGGGAGCAATTTCAGGACAAATATGAGTGGAGGGAGGAGTAACCCTCTCCTCCTAGAGTGCCATGGTCCTGATCCAGAAGCTGTAGTTTCCAAACAACAAAAAGAAAAAGAGAGTAAAGCTAGGAAGCGCAGTGGTAAGCCAGGGCAGAGAAACATGCAAGGGAGCAACCTCAACTGTTGGGATGGCTTTGTGCAGTGGTTAAGTAATTTTAGATCCTGGATTTAGCATTTTTATGAAGTGGGGGATCTCCATTAGACAGTACTGAATAATTACTTTGGTGTGAACTGACAACTGACATTTCTTCCCCTGGCCTACATCACCACTCTATGCTCTTCTCTATCCTCGTTGACTTCTTTATACATTAGAACAGCAACCATGGTACTGTTTGCCAGACCTGATTTTAAGTAACAACAGCATCATCAACAGCACCACTCTGAGGATATGCAGTTTTGCATTTTAAAGTCACTTAAATTGTAGCACTCTCAGGAATAAAATGGAGTTTGCACCAGGTGCTGTCATCACCGCCACATTCTGTGTGGTCCTTTGGGGCTGAGTTGCGGGGTACAGGCAATCTCCTGAGATGCCTTAATCCCAGGCTCTATAGAAGGACCACCTCAGGACCAAGCATCCCACCCTGGCCAGCTCTCTGAAGAGTTGTCCTCGCTTCTTTCTCTGGCTGATGCGGCTCTGTGTCTCCTCTAGATTCAGGGGCAAGTCAGAAGGTGGGTGGATGAGGGCAGCCTCCCAGCCTCTGTTTTGTTCAGAACAAAACGGGATGGACATCTGCTCTGA